AGTCAGCCCTTATTTCAAACCTCACTTTGGCTTCTAACCAGCTGTGTGACCTTGAGTGAGTCAGTTGCCCCCTGTTATGAGCTAAATTGCATCCTTTGAAGTTCATATGTTGAACCCCTAGCCACCAGGACCTCAGAATGTGACTGTATTTGGAGACAGAGCCTTTAAAGAGCTGATTAAGTTATATGAGGTCGTATGGGTGGGCCCTAATTCAATAGGATTACTGTCCTTATAGGAAGAGAAAGACACTTCAGGGGCACTTGTGCACAGGGAAAAGGCCCCGTGAGGACACACTGAGAGGTAGCCATCTGTGAGCTAAGTACCAACCAACCCCGTCAACACCTCGATCTCAGACATTCAGCCTCCACAACTGTGAGAAAATCAGTCGAAACCCCCCAGTTTGTGTGGTCTTTTGTTATGTGGCCCAAGCAGACTGGCACACCCCATTCTTTGAGCTTCCATGTCCTCATCCATAAATACCTCCCTCAAGGGGCTGTTGTGCAGATTAAAAAAAATAATGCAAGGGAATTGCTAATGGCAGTACCCACGCTGAGGGCCCAGCATGGGTGATGCTGTCTCTTGCGTGGCCTTGGATCAGGCCCTCCCACCCGAGGTTATCCTGTCATACCTCCCTGGGGGCATAGGCATCCAGATGACAGGGGCTCCAGGTGGCCCCAGCCCTCCTGTGTTGTGGCCTCTCCTGACGGGACCCCCACATTGGCTTCAGGACAGTGGGCTGGTGCCCGTGTTCACATACACGTGTACACACACACAGGCGGTGTACTATGGCCCCCTTGGTCCAGTTCAGTGGCTGGCTCTGCCCCGTTCCAGCCTTGGTGCCCAATCCACTCCCTGAATCCTACCCCACCCCGAGCTTGGGCCCCACCTGGGCAAGAGGGTGCTTGGGCAAATGGACCCTCCTCTGACCTTCTCGTCTCAGGCCTTGTGGGAGGCAGTGGGCATCTTGCCTTACTGCTGGGGGCACGAGGCTGCATGGCCAGCTCGGCTCAGGGCTTTGGGGTGCACTGGAAGCTCAGGAAGGGGACAGGGTCTGAATGGGGGAGTCCGGGGGAAGGAAGGAAGGGCAACTGGGGATCATGGCTAGCTGCCCTCAGCTTCCGGGTATTTGCCCGTTTCCTCATGGGTGTTACACTGCCCCCCAGCCTGGAAAGTCCTCCAGGGCTGGCTGTGCCTGGACCAATTCCCTCATCTCACACAGGGCTGGCCCGGGGCCTGAGTCCCACAGGTGCTTGTTGACTGGCTGAATGACCTGCTTGATGACACCCAGAAGTTTAATTCAGGCAGGTCCAGCTGACCTCCCCTGGTTACGCTGCTCATTGTCATTGGTGCGAACTTTGTTTTGTTCTCTACCGTTTCCCAGGGCCTAGGAGAGGGCTGAGATTTAGCAGGCACTCAACGGATACATCTTTTAAATTAGTGCTGAGGACACAGGCTTGAAGGGTCCAAGCCTGGTGGAGAAAGCAGGATTAACAGACCACTGCAATTCGACGGGATAGCACATGTGAAATGGATGAACCCAGGGGCTGTGGGAACGTGGGCGAGGACTGTCTGGCCAGCCCAGGAAGTCAGGGAAGCCTTCTTGGAGGAAGTGGACTTTGAAGGATGAAGAGTAGTTTGACCAGGCGAAGACTATGCCTCTGGAATAGGTAGCAGAGGCAGGAAGGTGAGAGGCTGTTGGGGAAATAATCCAGAGGTGGGACTGATGCGAACCAACGATGGTGAGGAGGCAGGAGATGTCCAGGCTGAGGGGCAGTCCGGGGCCCTGGCACTGAGGGCTGAGAGTACCCTGCAAATTCGGTCCAAAGACAGACAGGGCCCTCGGTGGAAAGTAGGAAGCCTTCTGAACCCCACCTGGGAAGGGATTTAGGGTGTTTATGGGGGGCCTGGCTGGCTGATCAGAGCTCCAGCCCCTTGAGAAAACGCGATGCCATTTTCAAAAGGGCTTTTATTAAATTCTCCCCACACGGTGCCCTTTGCCACAACAGCCACAGCCCTGGGGTGTGTCCGCCAGGGAAAGGGCCCTGTCAGTGTGCTCGTGTGGCTGAGGCTGGGCTTGTCCATGGAGCCGTGGAGTTGGCCTCGTTTGGCAATCCTGATGTATGTCTGGCTGCTTCTGGAGGGGTTCAGAAACTGTGTGTAGGGGGGACTGTGGGTGCTGGTAGCTGAGGGCAGGCTCTGGTGCACAGGTGACGGGGCCTGTCTCTTCATCACATACCCTGAGAGATGCTCCTGAGATGCCGGGTATGTGCAAAACATCCCAGCTCCATCTGGGGACGTGGGGCCAGCCGTGGCCAGGCCACTCCTCCTGAGGACAGTCCTAGGGAAGCTAAGCCCTTCCCAGAAAATACTGAGGACTGTGTGTGTGTGTGTGTGTGTGTGTGTGTGTGTGTGTGTGTGTACAGAGGGACTGGCCTGAGGGGCTGCGTGTGAATAGGCGCCAGGCTTGGGCTCTTTTGCTGCAGCTGGTAAGAGTCCCTTCTCTCTCTGAGCCTCAGTTGCCCTTTCTAACAAATAAATTGGCCTCTCAGTGCTATGACTTTCCTTCAGGAAGCACGCTTAGCCACTGCTTCATGTCATTTTCACAACTGTTCTGCCATGTTGGCCTAGGCATGCTCAGTGGTTTGCAAGCATGTGTGACACACGAGCATTCATGTTGGGAGTGTATGTGTGGTCAGATGGGGGGGCTCCTGCATGTACGAGGGGTGCCGCTGAGTGTGTGTGTGGGGTGGTGATCGAGTCTGAGCCCAGACAGTCTTGGTAAATACCGCCATCAAGGAGGCTGCAGTGGCCCTGGCCTCACAGGAAGTTGGGCTCCCGCACCACGAGGCAGGGCGGGTCTCCGCTGCCCAGGCCGGCATCCAGCGGCCGGTACACGAAGTGGAAGTCGCGCTTGGGCTCGCTCCGCAGCAGATAGCCCTTGATGTGGTGCGGCAGCGCCTCGTCTGCGAGCTGGAAGCAGCGCCCGTCGACCAGCACGAAGAGCCTGTGGTCCTGGGGCTGCACCACTTCAAACTTCTCCGCGCACTGTATGCACAGCGCCTCAGCCAGTGTGTCCGCCCGCGACGCCAGCGTCCGTGACTGATGCTCAGGCTCCAGGTATGACACGCAGATGAAGTCCTGCGGGGAGAGGTGGAGAGGGCTTGTGTCACAGGCTGGCCAAACGGGCATCCTATCTCACTCCACTCTAATGCTGGGATCTTGGACAGGGGTGAGGAGCCGAAAGGCCTTGGACAAGTCCTTTTTCTCTTTGGGCCCTCTCTGTAGAGAAAGGAGATTGCAAGAGCAGTCGTGAGGCTGGAAGTCAGGGCACCTGCGGCTGGCCCGGCTGTATGACCTAAGGCAGGGCCTTTACCTCTCCGAGCTACACCTCCCAATGGTGCTGACGGTCTGGGTGTCAGTGGCGTTGAGTCTTGGCAATGAGGTGTGAGCGCGCCCCCTGGTGGCCAGCTCATGGGCTCGCCATCATTTATTGAGTTGTCACTTCCTCATCATCTCTGCCTCCCTGAGTCTTCCTTCACTCCAGGCGCAATGAGGGGCTCAGAGGGCGGCATAAATAAAATCGGAGACAGATCCCAGCCCCAGCATCTCACGATGCAGCTGGGGCTGCAAAGGCAGGCGGAACGGTTTAGCCTTTAGGGTTGGAAGAGCCTGGAGGTGGGGGGCGGGGGGCAGGGGAGCTATGGAGGAGCTGGAAGGCGTGGATGGCGTTGGGGGGTGGGGGAAGACTTGGTGGAAGGCGGAGGGGAGCTGGGCCTGAAAGGTGGCGGGTTTAGGCCAGGTGGAGAGGGGCACCGCAGGAGCCAGGTGGGCAAGGGTGAGGCGTTGCCTGCGGGGTTGGGGAGCACTCGCACACACATCAGTGGCACTTACACCTTCCTCCACTAGCCTGGGAGGGAGCACCGTATGGTGGAAGGATGGGCCCTCCACTCCCTGCCTGGCTTTGAATCTGCTCCCACTTACTGTGTAACCTTGACCTCTGTGAGCCTCCATTTCCTCAACTGTAAACTGGGGTAACAGCCGTCCTTGCACCATGGTTGTAAATAAGCATGTTAACTAGCTCCCGTTTCCCCGTTGAGGGCAGGTAGGAAGTGGTGCGGGGCTGCCCCCTTGTGGAAGAATGGTAACAGCACAGCCTTCCGATGATGATGATCAGGACGACGAGGACGACTCCAGAGTGGTGGGTGCATATGAGGCGCCAGGCTCTGTGTCAAGAGCTTCACTGGGATTGCCCCCTTCTTCCAAGAGGGAAGCCAGCCCTCTCCCTTGGGCCTTGTGGCCTGTGCTGTGCTCTCCTTGTCCCCCATCAGGCCTCCCAAGGAACCTTTATCCCTACTGATGACGATGACTGTCAGGCTCTGGGCTTTTACTCCCAGGGAAGGAAGGAATTTAGGGCGTGGGGTGCAGCGGAGGCACTGGGAGGAGGCAGAGGGTGCTGCCCTCCCTTGACCCTAGAAATAGTGCTGCGGGGTTCCTCATCCCTGATCCCAGGTGTCTCTCCTAAGCTTCACCTCTCCAGGGGAGGGCACTGATGCTCTGTTTGGCTCAGGATTGGGAACCCACTGAGTGGAAGCAAGAGGTAAGGAATATCTGGGTCAGGCTTGAACCAAGAATGCCCATATTCCAAGAGCTGGTGGAGGGACAAGTGTCCCGGGAGTGGGTGGGGAGCAGTGGTATGCTGGAGCTGGCTTTTGCCAATTCCTGCTGACTCATACCAGCTTGAGAAAGCCAACTGTGTACATCTCTTCCCAATTCCAAGTTGAGTGTTGCCAAGTTAGTAACTTGAAATCAGCTACAGTGGGAATATTTACACCATGGAAATCAATAGAAGCTTTTTTTTTTTTCAACCTGGAGAGTCAATTACTGAACATTATCAAAACACCATTGATTAGAGGAGAGAGGACATCAACTTAGCAGCCTAGAACATGTACTGGTAGGTAAAGCTCATCTGGTCCACAGTCTACTTGTGCTGATAGGGAAACTGAGTCCCAGAGAGGGGCAGGGACTGCTCAGGGTCACACAGCAAGCTAGTAACACAGCTGGGTCCAGACCCCGAGCCTCTTGCCTCCCAGGCCTGGGCTCTGCCAGTTGCAGATGGGCCATCTTGAAAGCCAGGGTTGGGGTTCAGGTCCATTGTGCTCTGAGTGTCAGGGAAGTTAGTCTGCACAGCTATTTACATCTCTGAATTGCTGCTGGGCTCATGGTCCTATCTCCCTCCATTCTGCACACACTCCAGTCCCACTCTGTCCCAGGCCCTGGACTTGGGGCTCCTGAGACGTGTGAACAATGGGCCTTCCCTCCCAGGACAACAGCTTCATGCAGAGATGGTTACAACATGGTGCGATACATGCTGTAAGGAGGAGAGTAGCAGTAGGAAGCACAGACCAGAGCGTCTAGCTCAGACTGTGGGGAATGGCGCACAGGTGGGGGGGTCCGGGAAGAAACTGAGGATGGACAAGTGGCAGCCAATGAAGGAGGGGTGGATCAGCACGGGCAGAGGACGCTGAACTCAGCGTGTTTGGAGAATTAGGGGAGCTTGATTCGATGCAGCCTAAGGGTGTGGGATGATGCGAGCGGAGGAGGAGCCGGGTGTCTGGCCACCAATGGTTTGAATACTGAGTTTTTATAGAGAGAGTTGGGAGGATGGGAGACAGGATTGGAGGGGGCAGGCTAGGGGCAGAGGGGCCTTGGCAGCTGCTGCATTTGTCTAGGACCAAGTGACAAGGCTGTGGATCAGCTCATGGGCTCCCCAAAAGGGACTGGCATGACTCATGTCCACATCTCCAGCCCTAGCAGTGTGCCAGGACATAGTAGGCGCTAAGGAAAGGTGGATGAAAGTCTCATCGCTCCTATCCCGGTCTCGTCTGCTCAACACCAGTGCCGGGTGGTACTTTCTAGGCCCTCTCCCCTGAAGCGGGCACAGGGCTGGGCACACACACATTGGCAGGCACTGGCTGACCAGCCAGAACAGCCAGTATCAAGCTCCTGAGCCAGCGGGCAGTGGGAATGGTAGCTAGGGCATGGTCTCCTCCCATCCTCTGTCTCAGCTGTCACCTGCACGGAGGAGCGGGAGGCCCGGGCCTTGTTGAGCGTGCGCCTGCGCTCCCAGCGGTGGATGGAGTCCTGCACCTCCATGCTCAGTTGCCGGGTCACCGTGATCTTGTCGTAGTTCTTGATATGCTCCAGGGCCCCATAGGTGGTGGTCAGATAGTAGGAACCTGCGGAGACAAGGGTGTGCAGGCTGAGCTAGGACCCACTCAGCCCACTCCCAAAGGAAGGGAGCCAGTTCCAGCCGCCCCGCCCCGCCCACCGCTCCAAGCTCCACCCACCGCTGCTCCACCCACACCTACAGCGCCTCTTCAGGCAGGTGCCCACTCCACAGCCTCACGAGTTTCCTGAAGTCCTGCCTGCAGCTCTCAGGCCCTGCTCATTGGCTCCCCTTTGGGATGGAATTCGCTTGTTTTTAAAATGCTGTTTTACATTTTAAAGGATACACAAAAAACTGACTAACATGGATGTTTTTAGGGTGGGGGACATGGGTGGGCAGGAGACTTTTCACAGTATGTGCTTATTTACACACACACATATAAGCATACACAGCGATATATATATGTCGTATTTAAAAATAATCTAAAAAAGATGTAGGTAAAATTTTAATTATGGCTATATTATTACACATAATTTTTAAAGATTTAAAGTAAAAAACTTGAATCATTCATGTCTTCATTTCTTTTTACTTCTTAAATTAATTCACATGTATTCTTAATACCTAATGTTTCCTAATTTAAGCTTTGAGGTATTTCAGACTGCAAAACTTACATGGTTTTAAGATAAAAGACAATACTTTGCACAGGTGCTTACAAGTTCATTTGCCTTCGCTTGTTAGGGGCTTGGGTTAGAATGTTTGAGAAGCACTTGCCTCGTTGAGACCCCTCACTTTAGAGAGAGGGAGGGTGACTTCTGTGGATTCCTCCCCACTCAGCAGGCCTCTTTCCCCAGCCTGTTATGTGTCAGGACAATGGTCTTTGAAATGAGGCCTATTTTCCTAGTTACCCATCCAAATCCCATTTTCGTTTTCTTCCTAACTGTACTGAACTCTACTTTTTTGGGGGGTGAAGTAACACTCAACTAAAAATGCTCATTTCCCAGACTCCCTTGCAGCTCAAGGTAGAGGGCAGGAGATCCCGTTCTGGCTACTTAGATATAAGTGGGAGTCCCTGGGTGGGGCTTCCAGGAAAGCCTTTTGAAAGGGACAGACTCAGCTGATATGTTCCTTCTGGTTTTTGCCCATCCCCTTCCAACTGCCTGGAACACAGAGGTGAGCCCAGAGGCACAGCAGCAGTTTTATCATCAGAGGTGACAGGCACAAAGACAGAGGCTCATATCCTAAAGAACAATGGAAAGAGATGGGTCCACGGTTTCCTAATGGCAGGGCTAAAACCTGCCATCTTTACCAGCTGCTTACCAGAGGACTTCTTGAGTCAAGAGACAAAATAGCCCCTCACTCTGATTGAAATAATTATTAGTTACATCATGAGTTATTTGCAGCTTAAAGCATCCCTAACTTACTGGATGAAGCTGTTTACATATACCTACAAATTTCACAATCAATATGGAAAATTCACACCCTGGCAGAGGTGGGGGTGGGGGATGGGGTGCGGGGAGGTAAGATAAAGAGGTTTATGGCCACGGGATCACTCACCCTTTTATAGCAGTGTAGGAAAGAGACTTTTTTTTTTTTTAATAAGTATGTCAAAGCCAGCATGGAACTTGGCTTGATGTCCCTTCTCAAAGAAGGGCCAGTAAACCACTCATGTGTCTCGTTTTCCAGCTGAGCTCAAAGCCCGTGTGTGCCTGGAAGCCTTCCCTGGTGCCTCCAGGCCTTGCTGCCCGAGACTCCCTGTCCTCTAGTTGGCATGCCTTGATGGGCCTGTCTCCCTGCTGTGATCACGTCTCCCTGACGAGGAACGGAGGGGCGGAGTGCAGCGCGCTGATGGAAAACACACAGTTTTGGAGTTAGAGAGTAGGACCTAGGTCTGCCTTTTAGCAGGCAGCTCTGTGATCTCAAGCGAGTGAGAGCCTCCTTTTTTGCTCAACTGCAAATCCTATAGTGTCACTGTGAAAAGTAAATGAGAGGAATACATGTAAAGTGCAGTGCTTAGGTGACCTAAGGCTTCTCGCCCTTTCAGGAGAAGGGGGAGGAACTCCAAGCCCTACAGCTCACTCTTCCTGCTCAAGCCCTGCTATTCCAGCCCGCGGGGCCCCCGCAGCAACTTCCCTTTGACTCGGGGCTCTGCAGTGCCTGCCAGGACCACTAGGTGGCAGGCGATCCCTCCCATTGCGCGGCTTGGAGCTGGTTGTCCTCCTTGGGTAGAGAGTCCTATTTTGTACATGTATAGGAAAACCTCACTGCCCCTATTGGGATATTAGCCCAGCATGGCCAGCTGTCAGCCAGCGTGGAGAGTGGACGTGGGTGAAGGAGTCCATGAGGGTGCTTCTGGGAGAGGCTTGGATTTTGAGCTGGCTCCAGCCAGGTGCAGCAGAGAGAGGCCTGGGTATCCCATCGGCTCCATAATTGCCCAGAATGGTGGGATTTGCAGAGAGAGAGAGAGAGGCGAGAAGAGGGCTGGGGTCCCATCAGCCTAATGTTCAGATCCTCTCTACTTCTGATCTATGTTGACCTCTCCACACGATATGTTTGCTGTAAAGAAAATGGGACCCAGTCACTGGTCCTTTGCCAAATTAAAAGCACGTGGAAGCAGTTGAAAGAACACGAAGTTCCCCAAATGCACAGACTCAGGAATCCAGCTTGTGGGCTTTTTGCTGAATGCAAAACTGTTTGTTCATATGAACGTGAAACATGAGAAGGCCGAGCCCAGCTCCATCTCTGCTTCTGCCCTTGGCTGCCTCTACGGAATGCTAGAGCGCCCAGACAGTTTGGAAACCCCAAATCTAGCCCAACACCTCCACTTTCCCCAGACAGAGGGGTTCAGTTACTTGCCCAAGGTCTCCAGCCAATCAGAGGCAGAACCAGGACAGATATCCAGCCTCCACACAGCTCTTTTTACTACGTTCTGTTAGGTCTTCCTCTTAGGTTTGAGCAACTGAAGTTCTCAAGGCTGGGGACCCCCTAAGGGCTTGCCCTGTCCCATCCCAGGCAACTCTGAGCTCTGCAGAGGATCAAGGGCAGGCACCGGCCAGCAGGACTCGGCCTCCCCTGCCCCTTCCCCTCTAGACAGGCCCGTCTTTTGACCTGCACCTCAGGGGCTTTGGTGATGGAGTGTCCTGTGTGCCCTCACCAGCTAGGACAGGAGGGTGCAAGTGGGGAAACACAGGAACACCAACCCCCTCACGCTCTGTCCCTCTGTCCTTGGGCCCAGATACTTCTAGACGGAGGTCTGCCAGTTGGCAAACTTGAAGAGTGGGAGCCCCTGCCCAAACTGGAGATCCCCAAGTTGTTTTGTAGCCAAGGGCCAACACCTGTGAGGCTAGGTCTGTCCTGGGTGCTGTGACCTCCCACCCTGGCCACTGGACTAGGAACAGAGAGAGGTGCAGGGAGGCACCCATGTGGACCACCCTACCTCCTGGTGTGTGCAGCACCGTGTGAGGTTTGTCCCCTGGCCCCTGTGGGCAGGGCCTGACGCTGCTGTGGGTGGGCAGGGCTGCTGGGAGGGGCAGTGTGTGGCAGCCTGGCGAGGCTCTGCCCTGCCCCATGCTCTCACTCCATCCTTGGTCTCTAAGACTCTATAACAACCCTGTGGGGTCAGGGCCAATCCTTTAATAGGCTTTGTAAATGATTTATTTCCAGGAAGATCAGCAACACATGACCACTGTGGACCATTTGGCAAACAGAAAACAAGTAACAAGCAGGAGCTCTGTGCTCTGTGCTCAGGGACGCCCTTGTCATCTGAGCTCTGTCCTGCCCCGTTGCTCTATCCTACCTGCCTACTGCATGTATTCTCAACATTCTCCAGATGTGGCCAGATGTGAAATTATCTTGTTTGCTTGTTTGTTTAATCTGTTTAAGGTCTGACCCCCTCCCCACACACTGGAATGAGGGTTCATGAGAAAAAGAACCTGTTGTACCTGACACAAAGCAGGAGCTCAGTGAGTATCTGCTGAATGAATGAGTACACGGCCTTTGTCCAGGAACCTATTAAGTCTTAGTGCTTTTCTTATTGATTTATAAGAACCTTTTACATATTAAGGCTCTTAATTCTTGGTGTGCTGATGTGTGAGAACACTTTCCCTTGGTTTACTGTTAGTATCTTATTCTATTTATGGTAATTTTTGACATGTAGGAGGTTTGACCTTTAGAGATGACATGTGTGGTAGCCACAGACCACAGGTAATATTCCTGCTGAGAGTGCTGGGTGGGCTGCTGTACTTTTCAGGGGGCTAGTCCTAGGAAATGGGGTGCTCAGGTTTGGGACAATCCTGCTCACAGCCGCCTGGATGGAGCCTCCTTCCCTTCCACTCCCTTCTATCCTTTTCCCCGCAGGCCAGTGGGGACTGTGGGAGACAGATCGATGTTGTCTGAGTTCTCTGCTCAACCCCTCAGCCTTGTGGCGCTTTCATGTGCATGCTCAGGCCTGAGAAACCAAGGAGGAAGGCCCATGAAGCCCTGAGGTGGCGTTCCCAAAGTGTGGGGTACAGAACGGGGCACTTGTTCATTTTCGTGAGACTATCAGCCTCACCTGTCTTGTCTTGCACTGCAGCCCAAGTGCCTCGCATGGGGCCTGGCACACAGTAGGGGCTCACTGAGTAGCTGCTGAATGGAGAGATGAATGGGTGAGTGGATGGTTGCATGCGTGGATAGGCTTGTGGATAGATAGATGGATGGGTGCGTGGGTGGGTAAGATGGATGGACGGGTGGATGGGTAGATGGATGGACAGGTGGGTAAATGAGTGAGTGGATGGATGGATGGATGGATGGATGGATGGATGGATGCATGGGTGGATGGATGGATGGGTGGGTTGTTAGATGGGTGGATAGGCAGATGGATGGATGGGTGGATGGGTAGATGGATGGACAGGTGGATAGATGAGTGGATGGATGGGTGGATGGATGGATTGATGGATAGATGGATGGATAGATGAGTGGATGGGTGGATGTATGGGTGGGTGGATGGGTAGATGGATGGATGGTGGGTGGGTGGATGGATGGATGATGGATGG